GAGGAAGAGGCTGAAGAAGGCGCAGAAGAAGCACAAGAGCGGGAAGGTGACGGGGGGCACCCTGGGGGGGGAGCCGGGGCCGGGGGGGGGTGATGATGCCACCCCCCATGTCCCCCCACCACCTCACGGTGCTCTGGTGCCCCCGCAGCGCTCTTCGTCATCGTCATCATCCTCCTCCAGCGACTCCGACTGAGGTCGGCGCCGCTGCCGGGGCCACCCGGGGCCCCCCGTGTCCAGCCTTGTCCTCGTGGGGCCACCCGTGACCACCTGAGACCACCCGTGTCCACCCAAGCCCACCCACGTGTCCTGAACCTCCCGTGAGCACCTGCGACCACCCACGTACCCGGGGCCACCTGGGACCACCCGGGACCATCCGCGTCCAACCTTGTCCTCGTGGGGCCACCCGTGACCACCTGGGACCACCCGTGTCCCCCCCGAGCTCTCCCGTCTTCACCTGCGACCGCCCATGTGTCCAAGACCGCCCGTGACCACCTGGGACCACCCGTGGCCAACCCGGGTCACCCCTCGCACCACCCCCTCACCCCCAATAAAGCTCTTGTCCCCCCCACGGCGTCGGTGTCACTTGGGGTCCCAGGTCGGAGCTGGGGGGGGGCGGTGAAGGGTCCTGAGCGAGGTGTGGGGCTGGGACTGCCCCCATAGCCCCCCATGGCCCCTATAGCCCCATTCTGCCTGTTGCCCCATGTAGCTCCCCGCTGTCCCCATTGCCCTGCTGCCCCTGTAGCCTCATCGCACCCTATGGCCCCATTTCCGTATGGTCCCCTATAGCCCCCATTGCCCCCTAAAGCCTCTATTCTCCCCATCACCCTCTATAGTCCCATTCCCTCCCATTTCCTTAGCAGCCCCCTATAGCCCCTCTTCCCCCAATAGCCCCATTGCCCCCATTTCCTTATTGCCCCCATAGCTCCGTTTCTCCTATAGCCCCCATTGGCCCCTATAGCCCCCCATTTCCTTATTGCCCCCTGTAGCCCCTATTCCTCCTGTAGTCCCTATTCCCCCTATAGCCCCGTTTCCCCTATAACCACCATTCCCCCTATATCCCCCATTGCTCCGCATTTCCTTATTGCCCCTATAGCCCCCTAATCCCCCCTATAGCCCTCTCTAGCCCCTATAGTCCCCATTCCCCTTATAGCCCCTATTCCCCCTGTAGCCCCCACTACCCTCTATAGCCCCCCATTTCCTTATTGTCCCCTCTAGCCCCTATTCCCCCTCTAGCCCCTATTCCCCCAATAGCCCCCATTGTTGTCTATAACCCCCCATTTCATTACTGCCCCCTATAGCCCCTATAGCCCCTATTCCCCCTCTAGCCCCTCTAGCACCTATTCCCCCTATAGCCCCCATTGCCCTCTATAGCCCCCCATTTCATTACTGCACTCTATAGCCCCTATAGCCCCTATTCCCCCTATAGCCCCTATAGCTCCTATAGCCCCTATTGCCCTCTATAGCCCCCCATTTCATTACTGCCCCCTATAGCCCCTATAGTCCCTATAGCCCCTATTCCCCCTATTGCCCCTATTCCCCCTATAGCCCCGATTGCCGTCTATAACCCCCTATTTCGTTACTGCCCCCTATAGCCCCTCTAGCCCCCCTAGCCCCTATTCCCCCCATGGTCCCCGTGCCCCTCCCTGCGCGCGGTCCTCCGAGGCGCGGGCGGCGCCGCCGCGCAGGGAGGGGCAGCCGCTCCCCC